GGGACACTGGTAAAGCAGTCTGTCCCAGTATCCGATACGTGTTTTTGCATGATCTAACCTCAATTATATTTTTCCATTGTATCTCGCTTCCCAGCCTTTTATTTGAATGCAAAAATGAAACGAACATCATAATCATCAGTAATTAATTAACCAATCAATTATATATTATAGCAATAAAACAAAAATATCAGGAAAAAAATACACGGAAGAGGATTTGCAAAAGGCATTGACAGCAAAAGCCCTCCCAAAAAACGTCTATCGAAGAGAGATAAGTGATATGAAATAAATCGCAAATATTTTAGCTTTTTCAAATTTTTAAAAGAATATCAAAGTTATTCCATGTGTTGTTTTGTGATAATTTATCCAATAAATGATCACAATTATCATATCCTGTTAATTATTTGGCAACATGAACCTAACCTCGTACAGTGTCGGCTACTGGGACCTCAGTAGTGTCGGATACTGGGATTATGCGATATTTGGGTGTCGGATACTGAGTCATGCGACTCCCTGACTCATTTACATTCATATTTATTCACTGATGCATTATTTATACGTTTTTTTTTTTTCATTTTCTTGTTCCTGAAATGTTCAGAATCACTTTCTGTGCATTTCATATAATGTTTTCATAAAATGCTTTCTGGTGGTTTCTTCAAATGTGATATTTCAAATTCATTCCAGTATGTATAAATAAAGAGAGATAAACCCGTGAAAAAGACAATTGAATGTATAGAAGACAAGGATAATAAGAATAATGATGATGATAACATTCAACTAAGTTAAAAATCTGACAAAATTAGTTGAAAGAAAATCTTATTCAATCTAAGAAAACGAAATAAACAATGAATTATACATGATAGAAGGAAATGGTGTACAAAATAAGCATTCGGAAGCACATTGCTAATTTATTAGCAAAAATAACTATACGATATGCAATATAAGAGCAATTTCCCACTTGTTTTAATTTTCAAATTTTTTCAAAATTCAGTTGTAACACGGTAAGTAAGAAAAAATGTTCTAAATTCATTGTATAATAGCTTAAAAAATTCGTTGGGATGTCCTTTTGACCAAGTTCGAAGATGAAAGCGTTAGCAATAATCGTTATTTTGATTTCTGTGAAATTTTTACAAAATTCCGTATTTTTCGAAAATCAGAATTCCGCAGCTATCTCTGGATATTGCGCTTCAAATGAATTCCATCATATTAAATATTTGTTGCAATGCGGCTATAACGAAGTTAGAAGATGGTTACAATAACTGTCTCGATTAATTTGATTTTTAGGAGAATTTTTGGAAATTTCGAATTTTTAATTAATTCCCCTGAAAGTTAGCTTTCTGATGGTTCAAAATGTGATGTTTCGAATGCATTCAATTATGTATAAAATAAATATTTCTAATAATATTTCATTGAAATTTTCAGAAATTTTTAGACTTTCATTAAGTGGAAAATCTAAAACAATTAGTTGGAATGAAATTAATTCAATTCAAGAAAATAAAATAGGCTATAAATAATATACAATCGAAAAAATAGACAAAATGACCATTCGGAAGCATATTGCTAATTTATCAGTAAAAATAACTACAGTATATGCAATACAGGAGCGATTTCCCACTCGTTTACATTCCTTCCAGTTTTATCTAAGAAAAACATCTTTTTCTAATTTCACGTTTTTAGCCGCCAAAAAGTGTTCTAAAAAGCTGAACAAATGCTGAAAAATCATAACCATATCAACATTTATGTGACATTTTTTATTCTTTTTTTGTACACTAATTTCTATCGAGAAAAAAAAGATTTACTTTTCAAAAATTCATTTTGACATGATTCGATGAAGATGTAGCTTTGAAAAAAATCATCACCTTTTATTTCATGTTTTTTTATAGAATAAGTTGAACAAAACTTCCATTTTACGCCGGCGCCATGTTGAAAAAATAGTATATTTTGAGATAAGGTCGTGAAGCGCGGTTTCAGACGAGTGTGAAACCAAGCGTAACGACCGAATGTCAAATAGTAGGGGCGGATGGGGCAAAACGGCCCCCCTTCAATCGTCAATATTTTCCGATTCAATAATCCGATTGGGATGAGTTAGTTTTGAAGAATGAAAAATTATCTTCAAAATGAAGTTGAAACTGGGAATTTTCACAATGTCATTCACAAGTTATTGACAATTGAAGGGGGGCCGTTTTGGCCCACCCTCCCATATTTATTGTTACATACAGTTTAAAATGAGAGGTTCAAAATGGAGAAGGGGACGTAGGAGGGGGCGTGGGAGGGGGTCCATGGTGACGGAGGTCCCGACTGAAAAAATACCAAATATTTTAAGAAAAAATAAAAATGGAAAGATGTGATGATGAAAGGAAAATCAAATCAATTAATCAATAATTTTAATTATTTGTTCATCAAAACTGGAAAGTTAAAAAGGAAAGAAACCAAGGAAGAAAAGGGTTGAAATGAAATATGCAATTTCCATCAGATTCTTTAATACATGTTCGAGAGAAAAAATCTCAAAATAATAATTCATCTATAAAAAGCTAAATGCATTCGAATTATTTTTTATTTGCACTTTTGTCTTTAATCGGTATAAATAATTACTGATGTTGCTGTAACACCACAAAAACATAAGGACAGCTGATTTTGTTGGTTAGGGCGCATGCGCGGAGCTGTTCTCTATAATGCTAACTTCACGTTGGTATCAGAGTAGGCTGGGAGTGCTTCAGTCACTGTACAAAATGCCTCAAACACTGAGGCCCCTGACGCACTGTTTTACAACCTCCGCACAGGCCTTTAAAACCGAGCGTTTGACACATAAGTGACAAAATAGTACATTTCGATACTAGGGCGCATGAAAAATTTTCTGGCGAATATGAGTTCTCGTCGGCTCGTGGTGCAAATCATATGAGTCAGAAAATTTTTCTGCGCCCATGTGTCGAACAATATTTTTTGTCACGAGGGTCACAGGCAGTGTTTTAGGCAGGTGTGCTTACGGCGTGCCACAGGTACAAGCGCCTAAAATGCTGCCTTACGACCGGAGTGACAAAAAATAAAATTGAAAAATTTTAGTTTTTTTTACTCCAATTATAAATTATAAATCCACTTATAAATCATTCGGTGAGCCTCGTTACCAGACACTTCTAATAGTTATTTTACACATTATGCTAGTATAATCACTCAATATTTCTCCAAAAATTGATTTTTTTTTAGATTGTTCGCATTATTTTATCATTTCACAGAGAATGAATCTTTAATTTTTAGTTATAAATGCCTTGGAAAATTACATTTTTCGATTTATATATATTAATTGATGTTTTTATTGTATACTAGCGGGCTACGCCCCTTGCTCGCTCGACTTGCCAACACATGACTTACATATGACCCCCACGTGACTCCCATAACCCCTATTTTGACCCCAAGATCCGTAATCTGACCCTCATGACACTTATTCTGACCTTCATTATAACCCTCGTGACCGTTATTTTGACCCTTATGCCTCTTAGTTTCTGAAATGACTAAAAATATGAACAAATATTAATTGAATATACTAGCATAATATGTAAAATAACCATTGGAAGTATTATAATTTATTGACGAAGCCCAAGGAATTCTTTATAATTCGAATTCTAGTAAAAAAAATCAGAAATTTATCAATTTTACTTTTTTTCAGTATGGAGCAGGCAAAAAATGAAAGTTTTCTTCGTGTTATTCAATAGAATAACATTCGCCCCGGTGGCTTGGCGCAGTGGGTAAGTTCATTGCCTCACGTGCGAAAGGTTCCGCGTTCAAAACCCGGCTGGGTAGAATGGTGAGATCTAACCATTCTACTCTAACAGGGTCGAAGCGATGTAAAATAACGATAAAAAAAAAAGAAAAACATGAAATAAAAGGTGCGAATTTTGTTGAAAGTTGTATCTTCATCTAATCATGGTAAAATGATTCTTGAAAAGTGAATCATTTGTTTTTTAATAAAACTTATTGTACAAAAAACGAATAAAGAAATGTCACATAAATATTAATGTTTCTGATTTTTCTGAATTTTTTCAGATTTCTAGAACACTTTAAACGGCTAAAAAACATGACATTAGAAAAAGATGGTATGTTTCGCGATAAAACTGGCAGAAATGCAAATAAACATCTCAAAATTAGCATTCATATTTTATCATGATAAACAACAGAAAAAATTGGCGATTCAAAATTCGTTGGGGGCATTTTCACCCCACGTATTTCGCTAAAACCTTTTGAAGTAATATTTTAGATCAGCATTTGGTGGAATCGCTCATGGATACGACCAAACAAGAACACAATAGTAGACAGATATGAAAGTTGAATAGAATTTTCCTCATAAAAAAGCATATAATGCTGTTGTGCAAACCGCTAAATATTATTATTATTGTGATATTATTTCCATTAACTTCTCACTTCATCAAGGAAGCATGGATATAAACTTTTTGAGCCGTAAATGCATCGATATTACTGATAATTTTTATAGTTTATCACAGAAACGGAGAAAAAAAATCTCATAAACAATATGCTACGATCTAACAACGAACAATGCAATTCTCATCCTATTTTGATATAATCGATGACTTATGGATGTCAAGTTTTTCATTCCATTTCGGTAACAATTTTTGAGAGATCATTGAAAAATAGATTGTTGAAAGAATACCAATATTTCCGAAACTGTATGAAAAATTGAATTTCAATTGTTGTCGGTGAATGAAGCTTATTGAAGTCTATTCATCATTGAAAAATTAATGAAATTCTGTTGATCCTGTACAACATGAATTTCGACAACAAAAATTAAAAATCACACGCATGCATACATCATCTAAAAAACGCAGATCCGAACTTATTCGTCGATATTTAGTTAAACTGACGTAAAAACTTAAAAACTGAAATTTAAACAAATCCGAAAGCAAAAAGTTGTGTTCAATAGTTGAATTTCGATAAATAACCAGATGTTATTAGAAAGGGCATGCATGATAATTTCTAACAGACGATTAAATTACTTTTGCAATGTAGAACTGAGCTGTGCTTTTTGAAAATCAGCAGCCAATCTCTTAACTTCTTCCCAATCCAGTGAACTCATTCTTCCGCAATTCTAGTTTATTTTGAAAGCAAAATATTAATACTTGTCAAAACTAAGATTAAAACGAAGTCAACAACGAATTCAGCACTGTCACTGTTCCAAAACGTCCGACACAGAGATAATAGGGGAGATTGCTCAGGCTTATGGGAACTGTTCGATCAGAGTTTCATAGCGGTGGCGCGCATGAACTAATCGAGAGGCCGTCTCTGTGGGTAAAGAAATTTTCATCTATTACCATGGAAACAGTCGATAACAGGGATGCGTTCCCAATCTTAAATCCAACATGAAACCTCCTTTGCATTCACTCATCCGCTTGATTATCCCATTTTCGTTCATACAACTTCTTATTGTCTTAATTTGTAAATTAGTTGATCATAAAGGAGAGGGAGAGAAGGAATTATGAAGTCTTGAGCGAAAGAGGATCATTTATTTGAATTT